ATTGAGCCCTGCAATTAAAGTGTGTGATCCACAGGAAGCACAACAGCTAAGGATGTACAGGCACTATCATTAGGAGTGTGACCCCCTGGTGATCATGTATATGAGCTCCACAGTATGTGCCAGCAAATACTATAGTTAGAATATGCTGAACATGAGTGCCACAACTAAGTGTGACCCTGGCATGTGTACAAGCTACACCACTAAAATATGAGACCACACCAAGTATCACAACCCCTGTTCATTGCATTGAAGGGTAAGGCACTGTAGCACTGCCCTCCTGTTGCTCATTGATTTGCTCGAGTGGGCCCAGTAACATTGTGAGACTTGCTGTTACTGTGTTTGGCATATCGAATATGTCACGGGTAGCTTGCCAGGCTTTCCCATGCAGGTGAGATACTCTCGGTAGCTTGCTGGGCTCCAAGAGGGGCGGAAGAATCGAACTTGCGTCGGCTGGGTCGGCCGCATACAAGGAAAACGCCCTACCTGCTGTGCTATCGCTCCAGCCCTAAAGGGTCAGGAAGAGGGAGAAAATATATGCATAAATGCTTTGGAAAGTTTAGGCCTATACCTGGGATGATAAGGGCATTCACATAGCTGTACCCTGCTCAGGCAAAACCTGAACAGTTTTCCGAGGTCTCAGTCTACTTTTGAGCTCTTCATAAGCAGAAAGGAAAGGTCAGGGTAGACCCAGCAAATGCCTAGTTGAGTGTTGAAAACCTCAATGTTTATTACAGAGCCTTCTTGGCCACGACTAGGAGCTTTTTGGTTCCAGAAATCTTAATTCATTTGGACACTGAGCTACCCTGACATTTCAGCACAATTATTATTATTACTAAAGTAAAATGAAACAGGGTGCAGGCCCAAGACGCAGGGAATTCCACAAGACCTGTGTCTTGCTTGCTCTTTTTGTGTCATTAAGTTTCGCTTTTATTCATTTTTATTTTTAGCTGGGTAAAATTAGTTTACAAATATGTACTTTAAAGGCAGAGTTACACAGCACTGTCACTCCCAAAGTGCCAGATTCCTCCATCACAGTCCATTGAGCAACCTATTCACTTTGAAACTTTTTTCCCACACTGATAGCTGTAAGTCTGCAAATCTGAGTCTGTGATTTATTCTCATTGGTTTCAGCTATTTCAATGCTTTACTTCACTGTATCCCACTGTCACTGTCACTGTCCTCCCGTTGTTCATCAATTTGCTCGAGCAGGCCCAGTAATGTCTCCATTGTGGATCCCACAAATGAGTGAAATCACCTGATAGTTGTCTTTCTCCCTCTGACTTATAAAGTTTAAATTTTCTAGTAATTTTTTGTTATTTTTTTCAAACTTTGGCCATTTGAGGCCATGCCCAGCAGTGCTCAGGGCATACTCCTGGCTCTGTGCTCAGGGATCACTCCTTGTGGTGCTTAGGGGACCACATATAATATCAGCTATGTTCAAGACAAGTGCAGTTGTACTTTTGTACAATTGTACAATTGTACTCCTGTACAATCACTCTGACCCCCTATTTATTATTAAAGGTGATACAAGTAGTTCATTAAAAACTTTTTTTTCGGGGCTGGAGCAATAGCTCAGTGGGTAGGGCATTTGCCTTGCATGCAGCCAACCCGGGTTCGATTCCCAGCATCCAATATGGTTTCCTGAGCACCACCGGGGTGATTCCTGAATGCAGAGCCAGGAGTAAGCCCTGTGCATCACCGGGTGTGACCCAAAAAGCAAAAATAAATAAAATATTTTTTCTAAAGTTTGTTTTTATGATAGGAGAAGTAGCTCAGTGGACTGGAGCTCATGTTTTGCATGCAGGAACCCTGAGTTCAATCTCTGGCCATACATGCAGAAAATCCCCGAGAGCTTAAAAAAATCAACAAATATTAGAAACAATTGATTAATTTTTCAGCTGTCTGATGCCATCAGTATCCAAAAAGCTTAAAGGGAAAAGCTACGGAATAAAATAAGATACTCTTAGAGGAGCCCAGGAGGTAACTCACTGGCTTAAAAAAATAACTTTCTGAAGCAACCTTCCAGCACTGAGATGGGGATAGTCCCACAGCACCGGCAGGTATGGCCCTCGAAAACAAACAAAATGTAACAAAATGTTTGCACTTCTACTTTTCAACGATGTCTTCATCTCTGACTTCTCCTTAGAGAACACCTACCCCCTTTCTTCTCCAGACTCCTTTGTGTATGATGTGCTCTTTGCTTCTTTTAATCTTATCTACTGCTCTGGCTTTCATGTGTTTCACGTAGCTGCCGTTCAGGACTGGCTGTGGCTTGATGCACTGCATTCTATGAGTCAGTCTTCTAAGAGGAAAATTAGGAAGAAGAGAGACTATAATAGCCTTCTTTGTTGGCCTGGGAGGGGCTGAAGAGCGAGAGAAAAATTCTTTGACTGCCATTTTGGTCTGAGCCACCCAAACTGAAGCAGCGTGATTCTCACAGACTTTAAGAGGCAGTACTAATTTGACTGCATGTCTGGGCAGTGACTCACTGACTCCGGGTTGGCAACAGAGAAATGATTTCTTTTCTGGCCAGTTCTAAAAAAAGTCCCAAGGTTTATATGCATACATGTTGCACACTTGTTCAGTGCCACCCTTTCTCACCACTACCAGGACAATGCCAGGAAGGTTGCCTTTTCCCCACCTACTGGGGATTTTTCTCTGTTTTAGGTTACACAGGGCACTCATTTTAACCATTTTTTCTTGCTTCTTAGGGGTAGAAAGTAGAGTAGGAAGGTACACAGTGTAATTTATGTTACCTCTCTACCACTTCCTGGGACTGACCTGACCTGGGGGTCTTTTTAGCCAGGCATTTACTAGGTATGGGCCAGGGACTTAGGCTAGTGGCAGGAAGGCTAAGACGCACATAGTCCTTGATGAGTTTTCACTGGGGAATGAAATGACTGTCTTATGTCTAGCTTTATGTTTGAGGTATTGCCAAAATTATAATATTAATGATTAAAACATCTTGAGGAGAAAGGCCACTTAAATCCCTGAAAGATTGGGCTTCTGTGTTAACTAGAATTCATCTGCCTCACAGGGACTGGGAGGGGTGGGGGGTGGGGTTTTATTGGGGTTCTTCATGGTAAAAAATAAGTATTGGTAAAGGGAAATGTGTTTGATATTTGCATGACTGAGACCTAAACCTGAAAGCTTTGTAACCTTTCCCACAGTGATTCAATAAATAAATTAAAAAAAAAATTTTTTTTAAAAGATTGGGCTTCTGTAATGTTTTAAGAGTGGAAATATCCCTGGATAGCTGTGTTTCTAAAATTATAAGTTCAAACAGATTATACCTCTAATTTGTACAAATTGTCCAAAGTATAAACTATGGCTTCAACCTTCAGCCAAATGTTTTGAGCAGGTGAACTTGTTTGTATGATTAGATAGAACTCATTTATTATTTAAAAATGTGTGCTTGTGGAAAAGCATACTCCTACCTTAGAAAACAAAGCCTAGAAGGCATTTTGTTCCTTTGAGGAGTTAAATACATCCCACAGTGCCATTTGCACAAGAAACTATTCCCATGGGCCTCTTAGATACCGCTTTGGGTGAGTCCATTGAGCTATAACAAAGGGTTCCTATGCTCTGAACTCCTTTCCCTATAGGGGCTGTACAGCTTTGAACTGGACTTATGGTTTCTCATTAGAACAATACACACAAACTGAAATATATGATCTACTTGCCTTTTTCTGGTTATAGGTTAAAAATAGTCTTCCTGGGGTGGACCAACTTAGATTTTTTCCTCCTTTTTAACTATCGTCTTATTTCTCATGGAAAATTAAAGAGTAGTTTTGAGATAAGACCCCTTTTGTGATTGTAACCCAAACATAAAAGCTTGTAACTATCTCATGGTGATTCAAAAAATTAAAATAAATAAATAAAAAATAAAAAGAATTAAAATCTAATTGTTTCACAAAAAAAGACCCCTTCAACAGTTGGTTTTTGACTCTTTTAGCAGACAGATCCTTTCCCCAGGGTGGTACAAAATGTCAATTCAAAATAACTTTTTATTTTTTGTTGAATAACCATGACAAAGTTAAAGTTGTTTATGATTGGATTTTGGTCATACAATGTTCCAATCAATACTCAATTCTTCATCAGTGTACATTACACACCACCAGTGTACCCAGTTCCCTCCTACCACACCCTAGCCTGTCTCTGTGGCAGATTCTACAAAAGTCTATTTGAATTCATTTTGCCCCAACACCCACTGTGCTGGGACTGAACATATACTCTATGCTGAGCAACATCTCCAGTCCTACATTCACGTTCAGAACTTCTGAGAATGTAGCGTGTGAACCTAGGAGATTATGTTTTACTCTGTTGCTTTAGCTAAGGTAGCCATAGTCATTTGTGAATACCATGAGCAGTTAATATTTATCATCAGCTTCAAGATCCTTCTTTGTGCTGGTCATATTTGAATAAAATGGAAAATAAAAGTACCATTATAACTTTTCATCCCTGAGCCAGAGATGTAACTCAGTGGTAAAACACATTGAACGTGTGAAATCTTCGATTTGATCCCTGTTCTTTTGGGCTTGTCACAGCTCTTCCCAGCCACTGACTGCTAGAAACCTCACAATATTCCTTGTGACATGGGAAGAGGTGGGACATGCAGGTATTGTATCACCTTGATATACTCATGGTAGGAGAATCTAGATAAGTGTCCCTATTTCATAAAGAAGCACTCAAAAGAAAAAGTGTTTTGAAATAAGTGGCCAAATAATTATTCAGGGATTGATGTCAAATAGAACCATGAGAAAGTGAAGGTTAAACCAGGCGATCAGGGTGACCCCCCCCCCCCCCCCACCACCACCACCACCACCAATGAAGGATTTTGAGGCCTTTTGAATGTCTTCTTTCCTCTGGGAGAAGGATGTGCTTCCTTTAGATTTGAGCAGATGACCTTTTCTGCTTTAGGACAAAGGAAATTATAAATAACACAGAAGCCTGTCCTCTCTATTAAATTTCACCTGTTTCTTCCCTTTTTATTTTCTCAGTTTTATCCAAGTGTGAAAACCAGATTACTATTTTTGCTGACTACCTAGAAGAATTTCCAGATACAGATGAGCTGGTATGGATCTTGGGGAAACAGCATCTCCTTAAAACAGGTAAGGCTTGATAGCATTTGCCTATAAGAACCCAAATGAAAGGGTTGTCTGCAGTTAGGACACTTGCTTTTTTTTCTTCCTTGAGTTTGGCAGAGCTTTATTCTCACACTTGTTAATTCAGCAAGTTTGTCTTTAGCAAAAAGTGTTTACACTTCAGGAGGGGAGGGGTTGGTGGGGAAGGAAGAGGCTATCTATCAGAACAATGAAACATTGGTAGAGTATCCTGGGCACTTATGGTGGTGAGGTGTGGTAACTTTGTATACAAAAATCATAAATGTTGTGTCCAGAGAAGTAGTCTAGTGGATAAGGCCATTGGCTTGCATATGGCCAGTACTGGTACAATGGTTCAATCTCTAGAACTCATAGAATCTCCTGAACACCTTCAGGAGTAAACCCTGAGCACAGTGCCAAGAGGAAGCCCTTATCACTGTCAGCTGTGGCCCCAAAACCAAAAATGAGACAAGTGAACAAAACCATAATTAGTAATACTATTGTAACTATGTAAATCAACTATAATGAATTAAAACTATGATAAATTAAAAATAATAGTTTAGGGGCTAGAGCGAGAGCACAGCGGGTAGGGCGTTTGCTGTGCAAGCGGGCGACCCAGGTTAGATTCTCAGCATCCCATATGGTTCCCTGAGCACTGTCAGGAGTAATTCTTGAGTACATGAGCCAGGAATAACCCCTGTGCATTGCTGGGTGTTACCCAAAAAGCAAAAAAATAAAAACAAAAAAATTTTTTAACTAATAGTTTATGCTTCAGGCTCCTTGGCTGCACCAGCATTGGAAAAAGCTATAGAGACCCAAATAATATTTTCATTCTGTCATAGTTGTTTTTATTATTGGAAAATAGCATGTTTTTTTTTCTTTAAAGGAGGGCCACTGAACTCTATAATCCTTGTGCTTCAAAAACCACGCACCCAGTCCTGGCATCATTACTCAGTATCTATAATCTTTGGTGATGGGGGCTAAATTTCACCCTTTCTACCATTTTATAGGATCCTAAGCAGTGCTCAGGGGCCACCAGGGCCACATCCCTTGTGTGCAGGGAACCATGTAGTATTGGGATTCAACTTGGGTCCTCCGCATGCAAAGTACGTGCTCCAGTCCTTTGAGCCACCTCTCCAACCCCTCCGCTCACATTGTTTTCTGTTCAGATTTAAAAAGCTGCCACCCAGGGATCATCTAAGCTACACCTGGCTGTTAGACTGATAGGAGACACCGAGAAGTCGGGTAGCTTTAGATATTTTGCCGACTGTAGCACTGTCTCAATTTATTCTGATTTTATAGAGACTTTTTAGCCACTTTAGACTAATTGAAAGGAGGCTTGAGTTTATCCTTCCTTACCCTTAATTCCTATAGGTTGGGAAAGACTTTATAACCTACAAGAGCTAATAACCCAGCATGCAGATAAAGCATGAACTCAGAGTTAAGCAGCTCTTAATTTTGGAAGCAACTCTGAATCTTGGAAGAACCATATTCTTCAGAGGCCTTAGGAGAGGGTGGGGATGGAATAAGCTGATCAAAAGACAGGAGAAGTTCCAGAATTTTCTAGCTTCTCTTGAGTCTTCATCATCTGATTGGAGGATCCTGGACAGTGGTAAGGGTGCTGTGCTAGAAGTTAGAGCATATTTCATAGTCTCCTAACTTAGGTATATCACTTTATTTCTGGATACTATTCTCCTTCACCAGAAAATTTTAAATGATGGAATTGGAGATAATTTCTTTTAGTTCTGCATCTTACGAAAAAAAGAATGCCCATGTTTCCAAATATGCCCATATTTCAGTTTTAAGTTGGGAAACACTTTTTGAGTGATATTATTAAAATATCCACATATCTGAGTGATAGTACAGTGGGTAGGACTCTTGCCTTGCATGAAGCCTGCTTGTAAGGGTTCACTCCCTGGTACCACTGTGGTCCCCTGAGCACTGCCAGGAGTTATCCCTGAGTGCAGAACCAGGAGTAATTTCTAAGCACTCCTGGGTATGACCCCTAAAAACAACAAAAAATTTCTTTAAATCCTCATGTCTATCAGCCTTTCTAGCATAAAGGCAAGTTGGGAAGCATGGAGATCATCAAAGGAAGTATAGAGGAGTATGAACAGTTGAGAGGAGGGATATTTAATGCCAGTTAATGTTTATTACAGACTTACTATATGCCATGAAGCACTTTCTGTGTGGTATGTTGTTGAATACTCACAACTCTAAGAAATAGATACTGTTATTTCTTGTTTTTTTTTTTTTCAATTTTGGAAACTGAAGCTCAGAGTCAGAGTTCTGAGCCAGGCAGAGTATGATTCAAGAAGTCTTACGTTTCTTTTGGCGCCACATCCAGTAGTGCTCAGGGATTATTCCTGACTCTGAACTCAGGGATCACTCCTGAAAGCAACCAGGAGACCACAGTGGGTGCCAGGGATCAAATCTGGATCATCTGTGTGCAAGTCAAGCACTATACCTGCTGTACTATCACTCTGGCCCCAAGAAGTCTTAGTCTTAACAATAATATGCATGCATCTCTTAGTGTGCTAGGCACAGGAGGTATAAAGGGGGTGGAAAATCCAATTAGTTCAAATTTCCTTTTTATTCAAAGGAAAGTAGATAGGAACGTTAACTATTGACTGAAATTTAACATTTCTTTATTTTGGTGGGGGAATAATTCCTGTTGGTGATTGGTGCCTCCACGAGGATCACACTTGGTGATGCTCAGCATACTGGGTGTGGTGCTAGGGATCAAACCCGAGTCAGCCACATACAAGAGTGTAACACTGTACTATCATTTTGGCCACTGATTTTCTTTTAACAAAGTATAATGGCAGTGGACTAGAGAGATAGTACAGGGGATACTGAGAGGTCCCCCAAGTCCCACCAGGAGTGATCCCTGAGCACAGAGCTTGTAGTGAACCCTGAATACTGTGAGTTGTGGCCTAAACACCAATAAATAAATAAGTAAAGTGTAATGGCTAAAAGTTCTATACAGAACACAAATATGAATGTGTTGCTCAGAAGAGGGAAAGTGAAGATTAATAAATTAAACTGCATCTAGGTACAGATGTGAACATGGAAGGCATATTTGTAGAATGTATATTCATGGAAATAAATTTATCAACATATAAGGAAGATAGCACTGTAGCACTGTCCTCCTGTTGTTCATCAATTAGCTCCAGCGGGCATCAGTAACGTCTCCATTGTGAGACTTGTTACTGTTTTCGGCATATCAAATATGCCATGTGGAGCTTGCCAGGCTCTGCCGTGTGAGCAGGATACTCTCGGTTGCTTGCCAGGCTCTCTGAGAGGGGTGGAGGAATCGAACCCAGGTTGGCCATGTGCAAGGCAAATGCCAAACGCAAGCATAAAAATCTGTAAGTCTACAACTGTACCTCATGGTGTTTCACTAATAAAATAATAATAATAAAAAAAAACTTACATGGGGGCTCATAAAAAAGAAATGGTAGTTATATGACCTGAAGAAGGTGGTAAGTAAAGCTGTGATATATAGTGCTTTGCTACTGAAGATTCAAATAAACATGGTCTACACTTTAAATTTATGTGTTGTGATAGAAAGATTGGGCTGGAGTGATAGCACAGCGGGTAGGGCGTTTGCCTTGCACGCAGCCAACATGGCCAACCCGAGTTCGATTCCTCTGCCCCTCTTGGAGAGCCTGGCAAGCTACTGAGAGTATCTTGCCCACCCGGCAAAGCCTAGCAAGCTCCCCGTGACATATTCGATATGCCAAACACAATAACAAGAAGTCTCACAATGGAGACATTACTGGGCCTGCTCGAGCAAATCAATGAACAATGGAAAGACCGTGACCGTGACCATGATAGAAAGATTGCATTCATCTGGGGAACATAAAGTAACAAAATAGGAGACTAACACCCAAGAGTGGCTGAGATTAGTACCAGGAATTTTGCTCCATGGCTTGGAGGCCAGCCACACATGCTAGGGGAAAAGGAAGCTCAGATAGAGAAGGGAGCACCAAATAAAGGGTGTTGGGAGGATCTTCCCAGGATGGGAGAAGCATGCTGAAAGTAGACTATAGACCAAACATGATTGCCACTCAATGCCTCTTTTGCAAACCACAACACCCAAAAGGAGAGAGAAAACAAAAGGGAATGCCCTGCCACAGAGGCAGGGTGGGATGGGGGGGATACTGGAACCCGTGGTGGTGGAGAATGGACACTGGTGGAGGGATGGGTACTTGATCATTGTATAACTGAAACCCAAGCACAAAAATTTGTAAGTCTACAACTGTACCTCATGGTGTTTCACTAATAGAAATTAAAAAATAAAAAAAATTATGTGTTAGGCTGGAGCAATAGCACAGCGGGTAGGGCGTTTGCCTTGCATGCAGCCAACATGGCCAAACCGAGTTCGGTTCCTCCTCCCCTCTCGGAGAGCCCGGCAAGCTACCAAGAGTATCTCGCCTGCCCGGCAGAGCCTGGCAAACTACCCGTGATGTATTCGATATGCCAAACACAGTAACAACAAAGTCTCCAATGGAGACGTTACTGGGCCCGCTCGAGCAAATTGATGAACAATGGAGGACCATGATCCCCATGTGAAATTTATGTGTTGTGTCAGTCAATAAGTAAGCTGTAAAAAAAAATAGAATAATAGATTGTTGGGAATGCTGAAACTATTTATTGGAAAGGAGGCTGGATTTCCTACAAATTGGCCTAGCTATATAACTGGAATATATTTACTGCTGATTCAAAAAAAACCAGCAGTTATCTTTACATGGGATATCGTAATTTAATTTTAATTTCACATTTAATTACAGAAAAACCTAAGCTGTTGTCTGATATAAGTGCTCGCCTATGGTTTACATACAGAAAGAAATTTTCACCGATTGGTAGGTATATCATTTATTATGATATTTTCTTTCTTGTAGATAGTTTGCCTGGTGTCATCAGTGACCTCACAGAAACCTCAGAAATAACAGCTTACTATGGCAGAGACTTTGATTTAGGGGAGTATTTAAAGTCTTACATTTTATCCAAAGGCTTCTTTGTTGAAGTACCTCATTAGGTATGGTTCCATGGGGTGAGTGTGTAATTTCAGCATACTTTTGAGCCACCCCCACCCCAAGTATTGAGGCTCTGAGTAGTTGGGTAGTATTGTCCCTTTTACTTCAGAGAAAAAGGGAAAAGTAAAGCAAACTTTTGATTTGGATGATGTCTATTAAAAAGCAATTGATGCTTTTTGAAGCTACCTGATTATTAAAGTCAGTAGTGCCTTAAAAGAAGAAAAATAATTCCTTTGATTTTTTTTTTATCCTATGAAGTTCAAGTGCCTTGCCACTGGATGAACAATGATAGATTTCCTTGAAACTAATTATGGGCTATTAGAGAACCAGCTGCTGTCTAGACCAAAGGACAGTTCAGTACACAAAATGAATAGGTTCTCTGTAGGGAAAATCTTTAATGTGTTTGCCTGTAGGTTGGCCTATTTGTCCTGTCATGACCCTGGAGGAAAAGACTATCAAACTCTAATAGTAGAAGGTGTTTTCATGGTAGGAAACTTGTCTGGCTTAGGTACAGAACTGGTCCTACTAGCAAGAATGAAAACAACCTTTGAAGATTAAAAAAAAAGTTCTTCAAATTCTTCAAGGAAGTACCTTCACAGGAAATTGATCAAAAAAGAAATTTTGGGGGTCCAGAGAGATACTCCAGCATATAGGGCACATGAATTGAATATGGCTGACTTGGGTTTAATCCTCGACATCCAATATGGACCCCGAGCTGTGCCAGGTATGATCCCTGAGGGCAGAGCCTAAAGTGAGCCTTAAGCACCACAAGGAGTGCTCCAACCCCCCATCTCAAAGAGCTATCTTTGGTTCCCAGTGGTTCTGAATTGTTAACTTTTCTGAGTGAAAACTTCCTTGCAAGGCTGGAAAACTTTAGCATTTCAACACTGACAATGTTCGGCAATAAATGATTTTTTCTTTCTGTGGATCTCATTATATTTTGTACAACTACCAAATGCCAAAGGGCTCCCTTCCAGCTCATAAATTGATTCACTCCTACCCATTTTCATGTAATTACTCTTCATCAGTCCCTGTAACAAAAGGAAAAGGGCCACCATCCTGATTCAGTTGTCTGACAAGGTTGTTAATACAACTTTAAAGTCAGTCTTGTGCAATCATGCTTATGGCATACTTGCCCACTTCCAAGTTGGGAAAGGAAAGCAATGACAGCAGAATATCTCCTTACGATCCAAGTATCTGATTTCATTGGTACATTGAAAAAGGATATTAAGCTTTCCTTGGCTACTTACATAAGATTTTTGTTACATCAAGTGTTCTTAAAATGGAACCTGTTATCTTTTTGGATTTGTGACTTTTAAAGATGTGGTACATTTCTAATGGTATTATAAATAGTTACTTTAAATAATAGTATTTAAACTGTGATTATCCTAACACCAAGTATATACATCATCTTGAGTGAGTTGCAGAATGCTTTGGCAGATACATTTTGTTCTTATGATACCCATTGAAAGTGGGCATAGTATACTCTTGGTTTCCAGTCTTAAACTTTATATGTGGTAACTAGAGATTGGTCTTCTTATGTTGAATCTTTCTTCTATTTTACATCATTTTTATTGCACTTCAGAAATTCATAATATATGTTTAGAACAGACAAGAACCATATGGAATTCTTTGGCCATTTTTATGATTACATTTGGTAGCATTTATTCCTTAATTAAGATTGTAATTTCATAGGAGTCAGTTGTGCAAAGCTACATTTGTTCAGTCAGATGACAACATGACATGGATTAAATATTGGTAGTCACATACATGGCATTCATTTAACAAAATTTCAGTACACCTTCTGACTCCCAAGGAGGGACAGACTTTGTCCATTTATCTTTATAGTTGACCATAGATCCTGTTTTGGTTAATTCTTTACAAATTTGACTCTGTATCAAAATCCTGATTGATAATCTGGCAGTATCTCTTGCCTGTCTTTTCAGAGTATGTGTCTCTGCCTTCTTGTGTAATTTACAAATATGCCAATGTTTGGGGAAATGGCAAATTATCGGACCTTATATTCATCCCCCTCCATTTTGCTAACAGGGGGAACAGGCCCATCGTCAGATGCTGGCTGGGGATGTATGCTACGTTGTGGACAGATGATGTTGGCTCAAGCCCTTATATGCAGACATTTGGGAAGAGGTGAGTTAAATTTGCTCTCTAAACTGCCTCAGAGACCTCTGCAATAGCACTTACTGCTGCTGGTTTAATATTAACGTGGAATTTGAGGAATATTCAGCAATAAAGTTGTAGGTTCTAAAGTGATGGGACCGAAATAATGGTGGTGGGATTAGTGTTGGAATATTGAATGTAATAAATTATTGGGAACAACTTTATAAAATGACATTAATTTAAAAAAATTTAAAAATAAAGTAGTGGGACTGAAAATTCAACAGACCCCGTGAAAAGAAAAAAATATCAGCCAGAATTTCCTGGCTACACACCAATCCAGAGCTATTTTTTTGGGATGTAATTGAACATTGAGTCAGGTGCTTTATTTAATGTTTGAACATTGAGTCAGGTGCTTTATTTAATGTTTCATTTTTGCTATTGTTCCAGTAAGTTCTGAAACAGATCAGATAACAAAAGGAGAAGAAAGAAGGGTGTGGTGGCGGCTATGTCTGTTTTCTAATCTCATTTGAAATATGTGCTTGATCAAGGATGTATAGTGACCTAAAGGAAGTGTCTAATGAGGAAGCTAGTGCTATTTTGGTTGGGTTCACTGAAGATGCCCATCTGTTTATGAAGGAATACATAAATCAGCTTCCTTTGCAGACTGCTTCATTAAGCACCTTACAATAATCATGTAGGAATGTTTTACTGTTGCTTTCCAAAGTCATGGGCATGATTCCCTGTGAACATCTGTAGGCTGACCTTGGCTGGATGCCAGAATAGGCACTTGGGTGAAAGTCTGGTTTGACCTGGGGGTGAGACAGTGAAAGGGCACCCTGGATTGGGCTGCTTAGCTCAGTTGCTGATGTTCTTTGAGATTTAGAGTTATGTAAACATCACTCCCTTTTTCTTTACTGACCAGTCTCACAAATCCCATTGTAGTTTCTAGAAATGGTTGGGAAAGGGTCTGGGAAGCTTGAAGGCTACACATCTCCTTTTCATATTTTAGGTTATTTTGTGTCTGCTTTCCTTCGGTAATGTAAGAATTTGTATCATGAGTGAGAAAATCAAATCGAGGCCCAGGAAGTAAGGTGATTTTCCCAGGATGATTAGCCAAAATAAGTGTCAATTTGGAAGAGAAAGCAGGTTTTCTGACTTCTCTGTCGGTTTCTCTGCCATATACATACTTGGTATGATAGAAAAGCAGATTTATTACCATTTGCTTTTTAACTTTTACTCCTTGGTAAAGCACTTCAGGATGATTATTCTGGAAGAGAATTTTGTGGAAAATAAACTGGACAAAAGCCCCCAAGTATTTTTGGTTGTTTAAACACAAACGCAAGCTATAGGGAGAATTTAGAAATAGGTCTTGTTGCCAGGCTGGTGGGGGGGGGGGCGGCGGCTATGAGAGGGAACCTGGGAACATTAGTGGAGGGAAGTTGACACTGATGTTGGGATAGGCAGTGCAACATCGTGTCTAAAACTCAACTATGAATAACTCTGTAAATTACAGTGCTTTCATAAAATTTAAAAATTAAAAAATAGGTCTTGTAGTTAAGATGAATTAGAAGATGCAGCTTTGTAAAGTATTCTAGAGTAGTTCAAATTTTGTCAATTTACAATTGAGGTAGGGTAGACACTTAATCACTATCATAGATCTGTAAAGGTTTGTGGTATTTAGAAACAAGCTAATCCGATATCCCCCAACTTGGACAATGTGGTAACTAATAATAAAAAATATTGGATGAATGCAATTCACATTCTGAAGACTATGCTGGATATAATGTGTAAAACGTTGGTTTCAGAAATCCTAGAAACAAAACTGAAAAATCAGGATATAATGGCTGTTGGCTTCAAGTGTATTTCAGCTATGAATTCAACTGTAACCTCAGGAGAGACATTTGTGTCTTGGAAGCAAAGTAAGCCTCAGAAATGTGTCCCATTTGTCAGCGTTCCAAGAGCTAAGGGAGTGGGAGGAGTACATCCTTCCACAATGCTGATTATAGAGTTTCACAATTGCCCTCAATAAGCATAAGTTGCTTCTTGAGGATTTGGAGAGGCTGTGCCTAAGGCACAGAGAGAATTACTGCAGACATTAATTATTTTGGTTTTCATCATAAGGAAACTTTGAACACCTGATAGCAAAGGTATTTGTAGATGTGAAGCTCAGTGTGGCCATTTTTAAAAGGTTGTGCAACATTGACAGCTTATGATAATTCTAAAGCTTCCTTAGTTGTAAATTGTGTCCCCTGTCAACTGCTAAGTGTCAGAATAGCACTTCCTCCTATGAGACTCTTTTGGCTTGACCACAAAAATATAAGGACAAAAGCTGTTGCTGTCTCTGTGGAGATGAGACACTGGTGTCTGGATGATACATGGATACATTGCCAGGTTTTGTGGTAATTTCCTATTTGTGTACTACTTGACCAAAAAGGCCTTTGTCACAGTCTTTTGTATAATATTTTTCCCACTCCATCCCTTGGGCTAAGTCAGTTACTTGACCAACTTCTTTCTGTGCTCTTACTTTATGCCTAGTGAATCTTTGAAAATAATTTGGTTCCAGATGTCATAGTCATCAAATTTAAGATACTTAAAAATGTTCTGGCATTTAAAAATCATTTCTGCCTTTATGATGTAGCTTCTTTTTTCTCCTTCTAACTTCATAGTTAAAGTAACTTTTTTTTCCTAAAAAGACTGGAACTGGGAGAAACAAAAAGAACAACCCAAAGAATACCAACGGATCTTACAATGCTTCTTAGATAGAAAGGACTGTTGCTACTCTATCCATCAAATGGGTAAGGTCACAAATAATTTAAAGAAAATACTTATACCTAGTCTATTCATCCTCTGTCTTTTATGTTGCCCTGCTGAGATGTCTATCTGCTTAATTATTTATGTTAAAATTATAATTTTGTGGGGTGCTGAAGGACATTTGGCTAATGTGTTTATTTTTTCTGCATGAAAACAGCACAAATGGGTGTAGGAGAAGGGAAATCAATTGGTGAATGGTTTGGACCAAATACAGTTGCACAGGTGTTAAAGTAAGTAAAAAAATAAGTTTGGCATTAGCTTCATTCTCCTGTCTTCTATGCCTCCCTCCACCAACAACTCAACTTCCCATCAACCTACCTATTCTTGCCATTCCACAAAGCCACCAAATACCTGTACCACATTGCTCAGCTTTTTGAAATGTGTAATGCATATAAACATCTGTTTTAGTATATCAGAGTTGCAGTCACTGGTACCCAGCAGATGTAGAGATATCTCAAGACTCATTCAATATCTCGTGCCCCTCATCCCCATAGATCGGGACACATATACCAAGGAGTCATCAGTCAGTGAGTCACAGGGTTTCTACGAAGTTAAAGGGTTCATACTAAGTGGGGGAAGCAGAGCCATCCTAGTAAGACATGGATTCTTCCCCTGTATAGTATTAAAATTATTCATTAATTTATCCCTTCATTCACTGGGATCCTCCACTGTGCACAGTTCAGGGTGTACACAGTTCTTTCCTCAAGGAGCTTACCACCTCAAGGATAAACCTCAAGGAAGTTTTTGAACCACTTTGTCATCTGTTTTCAAGCTCAAGGAAGCCTAACACAGTACTTTTGTAATTGTCCTATTAAGTACTGGAATGTACCTCACAACAAGAGGCAGGTTGAAGAGGCCAGGGTGGAGAGGACCGGTGTAGTAGAAGTGAATGTTGTGAGTGATGCTAGCACCTACACCTACAGGGCACCTCATCTGCTACCAGTCTCCTTTTTGACAGACTGTTGCTGAATGAACATTCCATGAAGGTAGAGATTGTATTAATCTTGTTCACTACTGTAGTACTAGTTCTTAAAACTGCCCAGGATATATAAGTGCTCAATAGACAAATGGCTGAAAATGGCAGTCAGATTCAGTCTAAATTTAGGTAACGAAAGATCGGCACCATCTGGTCTCCTTTGGTGGAGCATGCTTCAATTCCTGGACTCTCTGAAGCATGATGGAGGAATCTGCTTCACGCAAAGTACAGATGGAGCACCAATTCAATTATTAGCAAATTTTTAGCAAACCAGAATACTTTAGAAATGTGTTTGTTGAGGAACAGTCTGGATACTTTTGAGTACTGTTCTTTGAAAACAGTGCAACCTCTCGAGGTCACCTTAGTCTGGAGTACCTTTTGGGGCATTAATAGCTCTGCTTAGTGAGGATCTGGCAATCCTTAAAGCACAATTTAGGGATCCCTAAGGCCCTGTATGGAAAATATAGATTAAAATGGCTGTACCAAGTACCCATATTCATTTTAACATTCTGGGGTTTTAATTAATTAATTTTGGGCCACAGCTGGAGATGCTCAGGGCTTATTCCTGGTTCTTCACTCAGGAATCACTCCTGGTAGGCTTGGGAGACCACATATGATGTCAGAGATTGGAACCTGAGTTGGTCATGTGCAGGCCAAGCACCTGACCCACTGTATTATTGCTTTGGCCCAAAATTCTTGGTTTTTAAATTCTGTTCCTCAATGTTCACCTCTTTCTTCTGACTTTTCAAATCCCCAACAATGAACAAATGGAAAGATATGCTTTTTGAAAGGAATTTCAGTTCTGATTTCTCATGGTTGTTATTAAAACCAGTAGATCATGAGGATAATGACATTATTGTTTTGGAAAAAAATACCACTAGAAAAGAAAGGAAATAAATCAAATGACAGACATAATGGAAGAGGTGAATAGCTCTTTTTGGGTTGTACATAGCTACTGATCAGCAGGATCTTGTGTGGAGACCAACTGTAACCAGAATCTCTTAAACATGTTGTTATTGTATGTGGTGAGCTGCTGTAAGGAATCCTCTCTCTTTCTGAATTTTCCAGATTCTCCTGGGGTTTATTCTCCATATTATCTGTGCTCGAGAGCATTATATATATTTTATATTTTTTAAAAATAATAGTAAGTTTGAGTATCTTTAAGAAAACAGAGGCCAGAGAGATAGTACAGATGTCCAATTGTGACACCCAAACCAAAAATGAAAAAAAGAAAAGAAAATGGACTCTCTTGGGAAATAGACACAACAATAGCTTTTCTTTCCACTGTATAGGAAGCACGTTTCATGAAGTAGACTGCCATTTTGTAAAGCAGTACCTTCTCTTCAAGGTTCATGAACAGCAACTGTGTCATTCTACAGGTCTCTAGACACAGGATATTGCACAGTTGAGTCAAAATGGTCAGGGCTGTCATGAAGCCCAGCTTCTGTTTGGTGATTTTAGGAACACTGGGCATAGACTGTAGTTCTTACTATTGATATTTTCCCTTCCCTGTTTGTGACTTCATTCTATGTTGCTTTGCAGGAAGCTTGCTTTATTTGATGAGTGGAATTCCTTGGCGGTTTATGTCTCAATGGATAACACAGTGGTCATTGAGGATATCAGTGAGTCCCCAGCCTGTTTTACCTTCATGGTTGGTGGGTGATGAGTTACTTCCCCACCATTCAGAAGCTTAACGATGAGGGAGGTGGATAGAGAGGAAAAGAGAGAGGAGAAGAGATGGTATTAGAACAAAAAAGATGAGAAGGAGAAGACCATTAGAGGGTTTTCCGCTGCCTTCAGTGAGGTATCCAACCCATTCCCTACCAGGTGTCTAACGTGTAGGAAATCAGTTAAATTACTGACTGGTCTTCTGTGGCTGTCTCCCATTGTCCAACCTTGTGCTCCTGGTTATAAAGGATATCCAGAATACACAGTGTCTGTCTTAGAGGTCCTCACAGACTAATTGTGAAATGAGACCCAATGATCCCCTACTATCTGGTGGGAGGTCAGTGCTCAGTTGCTAGAAGGAAGAGAGGTGAGGGCTGGAGAAATGGCAGAACTTCTTTCAGGAGAAGGCTGAGCTGGGGCTTGGAAGTCACAACCAGATTCCTTTAGTTTGACACTTGGAATGTCCCATAGGCCTGGATAACTGTCATTTATCCACCTCTCTTGTCTTCTATTTCTAGAAAAAATGTGCTGTGTCTATCCCTTGAGAGTTGACCCAGCCAGTGAGAGTCCCCCTAACTCTCTGAATGCTTCAAACCAGAGTCAGGTCACCTATGCCTGCAGCCCAGCCTGGAAACCCCTGCTGCTCATTGTGCCTCTTCGCCTGGGCATAAACCAAATCAATCCTGTCTATGTTGATGCATTCAAAGTAAGTCACATCTTTTCCCAAGCCCATTGCTGCCTGCCCATCACATCGCCATGTGAGCATAGAGATCCGTGAGCAGCAGTCCACAAGTGAGTTGAGAATCCTGCATTCTCTTTCCCTCTAGGAGTGTTTTAAGATGCCACAGTCTTTAGGGGCATTAGGAGGAAAACCAAATAACGCCTATTATTTCATAGGATTCCTAGGTAAGAAAAGAGGAATTACAAGTAAGTCATTCTGGGCTAGGGAAGGGTGGGCAGAAGGCTTTTTTGGGAGACCAAGCAATTGCAATTAGTGACCCTTGGCAGGCCTGGAGATACTGTCTCTTCTGGTCAGCCCATTCTGTTTCCAACTTGATCTGTGTAGAGTAGCTCTTCTGGGGGTGGGATGGGGGGGCTCGGATCCATCCTCCTTTGATTCTCTTACTTCCTTGCCTCTTGACATAGTGATTCTAGAGCTGCTTTTTTACTTGTAAACAGTTTCAAGGTCACAGTATTGCTTAGCACACCCCTTTCCTTCCCGCGGGAGCCAGGGCTGTGGGATTTCATGTCCCTGACCTTGTTGATCTCCTCTTGTTGAGACCTGGATATTCAGACTAGAAACCTCCTCTGGCTCCCTAGGCCCACAGAGCTAGGCCTGCTGCTTCATTGTTCAGAGCCATGGCTGGTTGGGAATTAGAGGAAGCAAAGAGAGAGGTATTCTTTTCTCATAATGGTGCTATGCCTTTGATCCACTAACCTTCTAATAAAGACTTTTAATGTAGCACAGCACTCCGGGCCTAAAATGAGACTTTGGGAAATTCAGCCATTGTATACACCGGTTATGACCAGAGCTATTTAAAGCTCTTGGCACAACAGATGAGCTGGCGAAGTGTTTCTCAAACTTTCAGGAACATCCTGAGAGCCTGCCGTTTATAATATAGATGCATCAGGTCTCGGGTAGATGTGCAATTCTGCATTTTTAACTAATGGTGCTAGTGCTGCTGGTGTATACATACCATGCTCTGAGGACTAAGGTCTAGCTACTTGGTTAGTGCTGAATAGCACAGGTAGATGGGTGATGTGACTAGGGGAACACGGCACAGGATTCCTGTAGTGGGAGCATGACCGGAAAAGGGCTCTCAGAAGAGATATAAGTTTAGCTTTCAAGGCAGAGCCATAGCTAGGCAAGAAAAGTCAAAACAGGCTCAGTGTGGGAATGGGGTGTGCAGAGGACAGGGTGAAATGTGCTTGGTCATGTTTCTGTCTCCTCAGACAGTCAGGGAACTGTGGTCGGGTGAAAACAGACATACTTTGTACCTGGCCTTTTCTGGAAGTCACCACTTTCTAGCTCTGTGATTGTGGGAAAGGTATACCAGATCTCTCAGTCTTAGGTTCCTCTATGGAAAACAGGGCTAACAGCTGACTCCATACAGAGCACTCAGCAAAGAGCCAGGTATATAGGCCACACTCAGGAAAAGGTGGCTCTATCCTGCCTGCTGAACTTTCCTTTGCCTGCTCCATCTCCGTCTCCATCTTTTGTTTCCTTCGATTTTTCGGTCACACCCCAAGCTAGGACCTCTCACACGTTTTATGATCCAGCTCTTTGAGCTAGCTTCTTTCTCTTCTTTCCTTTTCTTTCTTTCTCTTCCGCTTCTCCCCTCTCCCCACTCACTGCCTCTACATCCACAGTCCAATTTCTTAGCTTTTTCTAATGCTGCCATCTATTGGTCAGTTGTAAGAATTACAGCTTGATGGAAAAATTGGAACCAAAGAGGCGCTTTTCTTAAGTAAAAAACCGTGTCTGAAGTGATGTCATGTGTGATGACATGATGAACATGTCAGTGTACATGTTCCCTGTTCTGAGCATTTAGATTCTTGTTAAGGAATGTTGCAAAAATCAATTTCCTGGGGTTGGAAAGATAGTACAGGGGTTAAGGTGCTTGCCTGACATGTGGTTAATGGAGTTTGATTCTCAGTACCACATATGGTCGTTCCCTGCCACCCAGCACCAACAGGAGTAGGCTGTAAGGACAGCATATATTCAAGCCCTTTGAATGATCTCTCTGGATCAAGAACTGCCATTTTTCTTAATGGCAATCTTGTTCCAGGGACTCTGCAAAGTTTATATATTTATGTCTGTATCTGTACCTGTAATACACATACACACAGTTATGTATGAATATTTGTGTATAGAGTTAACACGAGACCCATGTGAAGGCAGTATTTTCTTTTTTTCCTTTTATATATTTACTGACTTTCCTTTAATTCAGCAACTTTAATTTCTTTTTTCCCCATTTCAAATGTCCTAAGTATTTTCTTTTTAAAAAAAATATTGAATCACCGTGAGACAGTTACAAGCTTTCATGTTTGGGTTACAATCACAAAATGACCAAACACCCATCCCTCCACCAGTGCACATTTCCCACCACCAATCTCCCCAGTATAACCCCCTTCCCCACCCTCCCCCTACTTCCATGGCAGACAATATCCCCCATACCCTCTCTGTACTTCTGGGCATTATGGTTTTCAATACACACACTGGGAGGTGATTATGTTTGGTTTATTATCTACTTTCAGCACATATCTCCCATCCCGACCGATTCCTCCAGCCATCATTTTCTTAGTGATCCCTTCTTTATTCCATCTGGTGAAGGCACTATTTTCATTTCCATTTGATTCATAGTGAAACTGAACTTGAGCATTCTCTCAAGGTCACTCAGTAGTAAAGTCAGGATTCAATCCCAATTTGACCATGTTTCTGACCATATTGCATTCCTTCCCTAGGACCCCCATGCCCACTGCAAAGCTGAGAAAAGCTCTAGTTGTGTGGGACTGTTGCCAGTTTAAGACTCTGGCCATCAGATTTTGCCTGTTTTGAAAGCTGCCTGCCCTGTGCCCGGCTAGAGGCTGCCCATGTAGATATGTAGCATGAGCCCTGTTTCTGCAGGTGGTTGGCCAGACTCCTCCTTTCATGCCTTGTTAAAGATCTTGGTTCAGTGTCTATATAGAATCTCTCAACCGTATCTCTTAATCATACATAGAACCTAACAGCCTAGAAGTCTTCACACCTCCACCCTGCCCTCATTACATGGGAAAGAAACAGAATAAGATAAGATCAGTGCCTTCTCCCACTTCACTCTATCTGTCTAACATGCAACACACACAGGAAATGATTAGAGCCAGAGGGACAGGGATCCGAGTTATGGAGTCAGAGAGATAGTACAGCAGGTAGGATTCTTGCTTTGTAGGCAGTCCACTTGGGTTCAATCCTGGCACCACATATGGTTGCCTGAGCCCATCTAGGAGTGATTCCAAAGTGAAGATCAGTAGTAAGCTCTGAGCCCTGTGGGGTAAGTCCCCCAATTTTTTTTAAAGTCAGAGTTATTATTTCCAGCATCTTAATTTGAAACACTGGTAGATAGCTCACTTGTAAGGCTACTTTCACTTTTTATCTTGTACAGCTTCATTTTTCCTCTAACATTCTTTGATCGTAAGTAAGCTGCTTCTCTATGCCCTGGCTGTTGCTCTTCATTGTGACTTGAGGCTTTCTTAATGTAACTCCTTGTGAGCTAGTCAGAATATGTGTCTTGAGTTTTATAAAGTAAGTCATATAAGTGCAATGATTTTTATATATGCTGAAACATGCATTTGTAGGGAGATCCTTTTAAAGAGCAAGATGCTTATATGAGCTTTCATATTTGTATGGCATTTGAAGCATTTCACAGCCTTGGGATTTTCTGATCCCAACTCTAATGCCCCTAGTTGAAAAAAAAACAAGAAAATTAAAAGAGTTAAGTGGTTTGTCCCAGATCTGCAATAGAGAAAAGTTAAACCTTTTCGGAGACACATTCTTTGCCAACATATGTGTCTAATATTTCTGTTTTGTTCCCAGGAGGGTCTTTATGGGTATCTCTCCCTACCCTGTTCTTTTGCTACTGGTAGATCTACCTTGGTTTTCTGAATAAGGTTAGAAAACAGAGGTCCAAATGCTCCTCAGACTTGGAAAGTGAAGTTTTAGGTACTTTTACATACCCAGCACATTGGTGGGAAGTAATAGAGTACTCTCATTCTTTTGCGTATCTTGATAAAAATAGATTTTAAAAAAACTAATACAAACTGCTCTGAGGCCATTGCTGAACTAGGATTTTTCCCAATTGTATGAAGGATGTTCTTTATGTTATTTCTAACGCTCTGTCATCTCAAAATGGGCTTTCCTGGCAAGTGTGTCTGTATTGGTGTTCATGTGATCATGGCCTTACTTTCCAGCAAGAATTGCTAACTTGCTAACAGTGATTAACTTGTTGGATAACCAATACAGACAGTTAGCTCCCTGGTATCTCATTTAAATCAGAACTGCATTTCCATTTCTTTTGGAGGTTAAGGCCTTTCTTCTTACCAGTTATCTCCGACCACAGATTCGAAAACTGATGTCTGGAGAAAGATGCTTTTCAATGTTGGAAGAGGCAGGAAGTTCCCTAATAGCACTGAACTCATGGCCTGGTGATTCTATCTTTGCTACTGCTGCTCACAGAGCCTGCCATGTCATCTGTGTTTACTCATTCCTACTCCCCTGCCCCAAACCTGTCACTTTCCATATTTGTACTTGAATTTGAAGAGATGTAAGTGCCCGGGCAAGTCTTCTTACTGAGTGATTGATTGAATTTGGGTGCAGTGGCTTCTTTCAAAAGCATGAGTACCCATCTTTTTTTAAATTTTTTTTTTAATTTTTACTGGTGAAACATCATGATGAGTACCCTTCTTGAGCTTTCTGTCATCTCATTCTCATTGTCACCAAGAGTTATGTTAGGAAAACCAGAAAGTCTCCTCCCAAGGATAGCCATTGGGCCAGAGCCAGTGTTTCTTCGAAAGTTAAGCATGTCTCACCCTAAACAGGTGATGAACTCATTTTCTTGGATCCTCACACAACCCAGACCTTTGTTGACACCGAAGAAAATGGAATGGTTGATGATCAGACTTTCCATTGCCTGCAGTCCCCACAGCGAATGAACATCCTGAATCTGGATCCTTCTGTAGCATTGGTGGGTATCTGAAACTGTAATAAGCCAAGAGATATGACACCATCCTATTACAAATGGGTTCCTGGGATTGGTAGGGTGACAAGAATTTATTCACTCATCTCTGAGAAGTAGTGTAGTGAATATGAATGGAATGAACCCTGAAGCCAGACTGCTCAAGTTGGAATTCAGACCTGCAGCTTACTGTCTGATGAACTTTAGAGGAGTACCTCAATCATTTCAAGACTCAGTTTTCTTATTCCTAAAATAAAACTTTAGAACCTTCTTTGTAGAGTTGTATGAGATATACTGTGTGTGAGGCACTTACACAGTACCCGGAACATTTTAAGCATCTATAAATGATAGTTGTTGTTAGTGTTACTATCATTCACCTTTTTATTCTTTCCCTCTCATTTTTATTTCACAGGTTCAGGGAAGGAGCGGAAATAACTATGATGTTGGGTGTGGTGTTAGGATATTTTATACATGAGACTCTATACTGAATAGTTATCATAGTTACAATAGTTACATAGTTACAATAGTTATTGTAAATCATGGCACCTCAATAAAAATTGTGATAAAAGAGGATACAACTTGGGAGGAAGGGGCAAGAGCCCTGGATGGGGTCAGTGACCACTTATCTGGGCTCTACCTCAGGAAGTATATACTGGACTAATCTTTAAAGAGACATATACCTGCGAATTAGTCAGGACTTCAGGGTTTCTGAAGCCTGTCTATATTATTTATTCCTGGCTACCCCAACTGTCAAAGCATCCATGATCAAGAGCAGACAGTGCTTCTTCTGTTTTGTACCATTTTTTCACTATGATGAAGAAGAGGATTTGCATTCTCTTTATTTTGATAGATAACTTCCTTAATATACAAGCTACTTAGTATAGATTGCCTTTAATTAAAAGTGCTATGTGGGTTTTTTGTTGTTGATATAATTGACTATTTTTCAAAGCACCATAATTTACAAAGTTATTCATAGTTGAGTTTTAGACATACAATATTGCATCACTGATCCCATGACTAGTGTCAACTTCCCTCCAATATTCCCAGGTTCCCTCCTATATCCTCCACCTCCAGTCTGTTCTCTTGACAGGCACACAATTGACTAGTCTTTTTATAGGTGTATATATAAGGGTGTGATTAATGGATTGATAACCTCATGCTTTAGAAATTGATCTTCACCTTTATATTACCTCACATAATGAAGGGAGAGAGTCAGGAAGGAGGAAGGGAGGTCAAGGGAAATGAGAGAGCAAGTAAATGAAGCAGAGAAAGAGTGTGAGAGGGAAAGAGAATGAGAGAAGTAAGTGTAGCGAGAATAATAAGGACATAAAGGAGAGAATGAGTGTAAGCAAGTGTGAAAATGTGAGAAGAAAAGAGCACAAGAGCAAGAGAATGAGTGAACAAATGAGTGAAAGCATTAGTGAGAGTGAGAGAGGGCAACAGAGTGATATATGTGTGTGTGTAGAGAGAGAGAGATCATTAAACAGATCAGAGTGAAGTGAGCCAGATAGAAAATGCAAGATAGTGAGAAAAAAATAGAGACAGAGGAGAGAGAGTGACTAAGAGAGAAGAATGTGAGAAAGTGAATAAGAGTGACAGAGTGAAAGAGCCAGGGAATGAAAGAAAGTGTGGTGGAGAAATCAAGAGAGCAGTCTTATGGGGGAAAGGTGAAAAAAAGAGAGGGGGGAGAGGGAGAGAAAGAGGGAGGGTGGGAGAGTAAGAGAGAGGGAGGGTGGGAGAGAGGGAGAGGGAGGGAGGGAGAGACAAGAGAGTCATACAGGGAAAGCCCAGTGAAAAAGAACAAGTGATAGCAAGAGATTGACCCAAGTGTGAGAGCACAAGTGAGAGTGAGAGAGCCGAGAAGCAGAGAGTTAGAAAGACATAGAGAGAGGAGAATGAGAGAAAGATAGTGCAAGAGATCATAAGAGCTTATTGGAGTGAGAGTGAGAGGCAGGGAAAGAGTGAGAGCTAGAGAGTATTAGGAGGGTGAAAGGAACAGTTGAGAGTGAAAACGAGAAAGCACACACGAGTGAGAGCAAGGGCTAATAAGTGAGAGCATTTGAGAGTGAATGATAGAGCAAGAAAGAGTCAGAGAATAAGAGATCATGAGAAATTTTGTAATGCTTTATCTCACGGTGATTCAGTTAAGAGAGAGAGAGCTTGAGAACAAGAGGGCCAGTGATAGTGCAAGTGTGAGAGAGTGAGAAAGAGTGAGATAGAGAGAAAGAGCCAGAGAGTGAGATGGAGGAAGAGAATAAGCAAGGAGAGTGGAGTGGGAGCAGAGAGAGTGCTAGAGAGCAAGAGAGGGAGAGATCAAGACTTGGAGCAGAGGAGAGTGAGGGATGAGTGAAACATGGGTGAGAATAAGAGTGAGAGAGCAAGAGTACAAGAGTGAAGTGATATGGAGAGCCAGAGAGCATAAGAGAGCAAAAGTGGAAGAGCCAAGTGACGGCGAGAGTGTGTGAGTGTGTACAAGTGTGAATGGTAGAGGGAGATAGAGAGCAAGAGAGTGAGAGGGAGAGAGAGAAAGCCAGAGGTAGATAGTGACACTAAAGAAGGATGTTGAAAAAACTGATATTGAGAAAGTGAACAAGAGTGTAGGTGAATGAGAATGAGTAAGCACAATTGAGAAAGTGAGAGAGAGCAGAGAGCAAGAGAGAGTGAGCAAGCGAGCAAGAGTCAGATCCAGAGAATGAATGCATGAAGAGTGAGTAGAATAAGAGTGAGCAAGAGAGAGTATGATAAAACAGTAGAGCACAGGAAGGTGAGAGACAGCAGAAGAGCAAGAATTGTAGACAAAAGGGCAGGGTAAGTGAATGCAAGTGAGCAAGAGAGTGAAGTGAGAGTGAAAGAAGAAGAGAGTGGAAGCAAGGAAGAGAGTGGAAGAAAGGAACGGAAGCAAGCGTGAGGGGGTCAGTGGGAGATGGGATAGAGAGAGAAGAGTGAGAGAGCAAGGGAATTAAGACTGAGAACAAGATAATGAGGGAGAGCAAGAGTGAAAAGAAGTGTGCCCAGGAGAGAGAATGAGAGATTAAGAATAAAAGACAGTGCAGGGCTGGAGCAATAGCATAGCGGGTAGGGCGTTCGCCTTGCACTCGGCCGACCCGGGTTCGATTCCCAGCATCCCATATGGTCCCCTGAGCACCGCCAGGGGTGATTCCTAAGTGCAGAACCAGGAGTAACCCCTGTGCATCATCAGGTGTGACCCAAAAAGCAAATAAAATAGATAAAAGAATAAAAGACAGTGAGGAAGGGCCAGAGATAGAGTAGTAGGTAGGACACTTGCCTTGCACCGTGTCAACCCTGGTTTGATTCCTTGGCACCCCACCAGGAGTGATCCTGAGAGAGCAAGAATGAGTGTGAGAGTGAGCAAGAGAGCACCAGCAAGAAAAAGAATGACAGTGAGCAAGAGAGTGAGAGAGATGGAGAGAGTGAAAGCATAAGCGCAAGTGTGAAAGGGAACGGAGGAAAGAGCAAGAGAAAGAGAAAGCAAGAGAGCTAGAGAGTGAGATGAAGAGGGCAAGAATTAGCAAGAGAGATAGCAAGTGTAAATGAGATCCGAAGAGATAGGAGAGAGCGAGAGACCAAGAGAGTGAGAGTGTGTGAGAGAAAGCAAGAGTGCATAAAGGAGTGAGAGAGAGGAAGCAAGACTGCCAGAAAAAGTGCAGAGAATGAGAGCCAATGTGAAAGCAAGGGAGAATAAGAGAAGTGGAGCAGAGGAGAGAGAAAGAGTAAAACACAAGCAAGAATGAGACAGAACAGCAAAAGCATGCAAGAATGAGAGTTATATATAGGGTAGGAGAGTCAGAGAGTGGGGGAGATTGAGATGTTGTGAGTGAAAGCATGAGAGCAGGAGCAAATGAAAGCAAGAGAGATCCTGAAATAGTGAGGGAGAAAGCTAGAGAAGGAAAGAGGAAGAGAGCCAAGAGGTACCAAGGGAGATAGGAAGAGAAAGTGAGATAGTGAGTATGAGACCAAGAGCCAGTAAGAGTGATAACCGTTAGCACTGTTAGCACTGATCTCCCGTTGTTCATTGATTTGCTCGAGTGGGCACCAGTGACATCTCCATTGTGAAACTTGTTACTGTTTTTGGCATATCAGATGTGTCATGGGTAGCTTGCCAGGCTTTGCTGTGCGGGCGGGATACTCTCATTAGCTTCCCGGGCTCTCCGAGAGGGGCAGAGAAACCGAACCCGGGTCGGCCAAGTGCAGGGAAAACACCCTACTCGCTATGCTATTGCTCCAGCCCAAGAAGTAGAATGAAAGAGAGCAAGTAAGGGAAGAGAGAGTAAGTGAGAGAACAAAGGATCAGGAGCAAGCTATGGAGAACTAGAGCATGAGAGTGCATGAGCAATGGAGCAGAGGGAGTGGGTGAGAGAGCAAGCGATAGAAAGTGAGAATGAAATGAGTGCAAGAGGGAATGAATGAGTGTGTGCAAGAGTAAGAAATGAATTACAGTGAACAAGAGAGAAGGGAAAGAGAGAGTAGTTGGGAGTGGGCACAAGCCTATGACAGTGAGTAGAGTGCAAGCAGAAGGACCAGAGAATGAAATCAAGATCCAGAGTGCGGGGGCATGAGAGTGAGTAAGAGCAATGAGAGAGCCAGTGAGAGTACAAGAGAGTGAGCAGAAAGAGGGAGAGCCAGTGTGAAGTGGAGAGAGATCAGGAGATGGTGGAAAGGAGAGCAAGAGAGTGAGTGAAGTACCAGTGAGACTTGGGGCAAGAGAGTAAGAGTGTGCTAGACAAGGAATCAGAGCATGAGAGATAGAGACCATAAGAGAGGAAGAGAGTAAGCGAGAACAAGAGATAGATCAAGAGAAAGTCAGAGAGTGAGATGAAAGCAGGAGAGGCAGCAGGAAGGCAAGAGAGAACAAGTGGGAGATAGGGGATGAGAGACCAAGAAAGAGCGAGACTGTGAGAGTGAGTACAAATATGTAAGAGCTGGTGAGAGAATAAGTAAGAGAACAAGGAGGGAAAAAGAGGGAAAGATGAAAAAATGGCCATCGAGAA